ATGGACGAAAACACTCCAGCTCTGAAAGTATTCGACGCAGTACCCGCCGGGGGAAGCAGAGGAAGAGGAAGACCTCAACTCCATTGGAAGGACCAAGTGGAGAAGGACCTGTCTTCACTTGGAATATGTAATTGGCGCCACGTAGCGAAAAGAAGAAACGACTGGCGCGCTGTTGTTAACTCGGCGATAATCGCGTAAGCGGTGTCTACGCCAATCTAGAAGAAGAAGAAACTGGACTTTAATGTGCCTTGGTAGCATGAAAGTTAGCGGTTACACCAACTTATAGTAACCTTTTTATAAGTATGTATGTATTAAGTATGCACATATAAACAAATAAGATTTTAAATTAACTTTTATTTTGTATGTACATATTGTACTTTAAATTTTATTTTAACAAATTAATTTTAAACTAACATGCACTACCTAACATATATGTATATAAATTAGATTGTATAATGAGTACGTAATGACCTAAGAAGTTTGACTATAATCGCATTTAAAGAATATTCTACATACAACATTCATACTTGATTCATACATACGAGTTATTTACACATGAGTATACTGTTAGTGTTTCCTTATCAAAAGTCTAACAGTATATATGTACATAAATGCACATGTCCACATGTACACAAATATAAATACACAAGGTCAATCACACATATGTATGTATATACTGTTTTACTTGTTTGTTTTGTTTTGTTTATCCTTTCCACTGCGAAAGTGGTTGCGGCGATGTAAATTTCTCATTTAAACTAAAGAAATACTCAAGCCTTCAGGTAGCACAGGGTAAAGGCATTGACTAACATCTTTATCAACTGATACTTGATACGTTAATTTCCTCTTTGCCTTTCTCACAGCTATAATTTCCGGTACATGATACTTCTCGCTGAGTTTTTGTTGATCCTCTTCAATTACTTGTGGCAGTACTTCCGATATTGCTGAATTAAAGTAGAGTACAATTTCGTCATCATCCAGCTGGCGCGTCCAACGAGGTTTTGATTCAATTTGACTCATTATTTGCGGAACCAATAACCTTGAAGAGTTTGTGCTATTATTCAATACATTATGGGAAAGTGTAGTTCCTAAACGCCGCAACATAGATACTACTTTCCCATCTATCGAAGGACGCTTTAACCATCGTTCGTTGTCAATAATTGTGTGCTCATCGAATTTAGTAAATATATTTTCATTGTTTCCGATATTAGTTATTTCAGAAGCCAATTGCAAATCTTTTTTTGGTATATACGAATATTTTTCTTTTAGAATCTCTTTATAAGCATCAGCCACATTTTTCACTTCACAATTACTCTCTGTCTTAATAGATAGGTTAGAGCGATGACCAACGAAAGTTTTATGCTTTATGAGTTTTCGTCGTAGTCTCGAAGACCTTGATAGCATTTTTTGTTTTGTTGAATACCACAATCGATCACGACATTTCGGTTGAAATTTCGTGGCACATTTTTTCCTCTCTTCAATAAAGCTTTCTTCTTGCAGTGGTACTCCTTGGTCATAGCGTGCTTTAGCTTTTACGAGTATGTTCGGGAGGACCTTAGCTATTGGGCGGCATAATTGCGTATTCGTTTGCCAATGGGACATATTCTGCGATTGTGGATGTTGATTCTCAACGTTCTCTTTATGTGTCATACTATTCATTTGAAGACGAAAGTTGCCGGAAGGGCTTTCTGTGTCGTTGCTGTTCAATGTTTGCAGTGAGTACCAGTTTATCAGCCAATTATTGCAACTGAAACATAGGTATTTATCATCGCTTAGTGGCTGAAAATTAAAATCAAAAAATTGTTATTATTGCTTCTAATAATTAATTCGGTTCTAGAAACTAAAAAAAAAAATAATAAAAAAAATAATAATTTTTTTTTTAAATATAAATTGTCATTATAATCTGGTCGACAAATTGATCTACATAAGCTAGTGTGGAACCAAGTGAAGACGAGTTTTGTATAATCAGCCAGGATAACTTTTGTTCAATAACACAGGCCAATAAATATTTTTTGTATTGAACATGGGTTTTACTTCAAATATTCTGGTTATATAAGATAATATATGTATGTATATGGGCAGGACGATTTCAAATGTTTGCTTCTCGCGCCCATATAACGGCAGCCTTCGAGCTGGCCTATTGGGAGAGTGCATCGCTTGTTGTGTTCGACTGCATGTGTGTTGCAAATTGCAAAAAAAAAAATAAAATGTGTTTCATAATTTTCTCTCCTGTAAGAATCAGTACAAAATGTCTTCGAGAAGTTGTAAACGAGGCCCCGACGCGTTTTGCTTTATTGGCGGTGAATTTTTTAAAATGAGAGAGAAATGGTATGATTTAAGTCAAAATTTAAAGATTTTTAAAGGCCCTTGAATACAAAAATTTAGATTTTGTGTTTTCCCGAAGCTACTTCGCAATAAGGAGGAAAATGCCAGTTTTAATGCAGTAGTGTATGGTTTTTTGGCACACGTTACATTCTAATTTAGATAAATTTGAAGATAATATGAGAGATTATTCGGAAGAACGTAGAGAACGCTTCCATTAAGATATAAATGAGAGACATTACCAAGGCAGGAAAAATAAATTGTTAATTTTTTTTATTTGGAATCAATTTAAAAATATCTATTGTTAGAATGAATCCTAAAAGTGTGATCGACATCTCTTAATAAATTATTTATATGTTAAGTTTTTACTAATTTTTATTGATTTGATAATACTAGTGAATACAAAATTGTTTTATTCTTATTCTTATTTTAAGACATAAAAGCAACAAAAGAAAGTTATGTTAACTTGGTGTTATTACTATAATTTGTACTGAAGTTGTCTTAAGCTGTTTCAACTTACTACCTAAGTAATATTTAATTTTAGTTTTATAGCACATTGGAATGGATGAAAGACCTAAATACTGTATTACCAAAATACAAAAAAGTTGCTAGGGTTTCATTAAACTACCCAATGATATGTATTCTAAGCAAAAAGATACAATGTAATGAGAAAAAAAAATCTCTTCCATTTTCATTGAGATAATTCAAAGATTGACCGATATAAGTACACAGTATAAAGTCACCCGAAAGTTCGAAAAACTTTATGTTAGGTATAAAGGGGCTCAGGGAAGTATTGACTCCATTGAACCTATTTTGAGAAGAATATTCTCTCTGAATTTCAGCTATACATCTCACACATTGACCGATATATTAAATGATGAACAATTTTTGGTCATAAGGTGAAATACTCTAAAGGTATTATTCGTGCAAAGTTTTATCAAGTTATATTATTTTTATATATTTGAATACCGGTAAAATTTAATGTCTCTGTCAAAGATATCTATGCATAGACGGACTGATGGATGGACGGACAGACAATGAGTCTCTCGGATGTCAACTGGTCTTAACATTCTGATCATTTACATATGCATGTATGTAAATCTCACTCGAGTATTTTTAGGTGATACAAACAACGGTTAGATGAAAAAAACTATTATACTTTGTAGCAACATGTTGCAAGAGTATAAAAATTGGAGATTATTTAATATAAAACTACAAACAAAATGTAATACTAATGAATTATTAAAAGGGTTCTTGATTTGAAAATGCGACGTACGCATCGACCAACCTAATTATTTGTACACAAACATATCTACAAACGTATATTAATGTATGTAAGTATGAATGTTGATATGCTTATGTGCATTCTATGGACATTATAGCTAACAAAAGGTGTAGAGAGGAGAATTCATTAAGTGGCAGCTGCCACAAAATTGCACCGGCATTCCATTTGTTTTGAGTAAAAAAATATAAGACATTTGGTATATTATGTATAGATATATATATATGTATGTAAGTGTCGGTGTACGTTAACACATTTAGTTGATCGTTAACAGGAACAGTATAAACGTAAATATGTTGTACAAAATTTATCTATGTATAAACTTACATACATACAGATATTTCATATAAATAAAGTATCATGTATACTTAGATTACGTTTACGATTACACTTTGGCAGTCGATGTCATTCATCAACACCAGGTGCAAAACAAAACACACAAAAAACTAACTGTGTTGTTGAGGATCCTCTACTTATGCTATGGTATGTACGTAAATACATATGCACATGATTGTAAAGGATGAAAAACATCTGCCGTATTGTCAGCATCGTTTATGTGATGGTGCATTGTCTTAACGACGACAAAATATAACATATGTTGTGGTGTTGTGAATCGCAGAAAGTAGAGCGACATTAAAATCCAAATTTAACAACCACCAAACCAAAAAATGAGTATGCTACTTGCAGCTGCTGCAGCTGCCAACGCCTCATGCAATATGATCATCACCTGTAATTACTAAGCGATGAATTAAAAGCTTCTGTAAGAGTATGGTATAGCCCTTTGGCGGCCACTGCGTTTGTTTACATATGATTGCAAAAATAAAAGTACAGAATACATAACTAACTTACTTATGTATGCATACAAAAGTACATGCGTAATTATGCGACTTTCTAATGATTTTCAGATGAAGCAGTTCAGTATGAGCAGTTCACAGGAACGGGATTATCGATAAGCCTTTCGTATATAACAACCTTTATCACATCACTGGTCTCATCTTATTTTGCAAGTTTATAGATAGAAAATGTTTATAATTATATATAAATATTATTTATATTAATTATATATTAATTGCGGCACTTGCTGTGCTTAATTGGTAATGTTTTTTTAAATATTAAAATTCTAATGTCTAATATCCTTAATTTAGTATACATATGAACTCTATGTTTACGTGAGCTCATACACATATTCACATATCCTGCTGGAGTTGTTGTGACTCATTCTGTGTTCAACGTTATCGATTTTTTGGGAATGATGATACTCATAGAGGTGTAATTTTCTATTGTATAATATATGCACACTTAGAGTTTTTAAATTAATTATATTTGAACACACCTGAAACTTGAATTTCGCATGAATTAGTTCAACAATATTAGGCCCACTTCTCGGTTCGTAGATGTTGATAGTTTGATTTGTATGGCAGCCGCAGATTAAGCAAGTTCTCTTTAAAAATTCTGATGATATTTCTGACATTTCCTGTCTTCTGCTCTGTGCTACAGGTACACTTTATATTATAATGTAGTCAAAAATGTTTTAAATTAATTTTCACCAACATTTAATTTATTTTGCGAAAACAGTATTTGTTATCATTTGTATACGATATATGAATGAAATAATTTACACGCGTATCGAGGCACCTCGCAAAAATTAACCAACGTTGCCGTGCCCCGTTGCCTCATTCACTGTAATATGTATGCAACAGAAACAATCGACACGTCCTTAACTGCGGGCAAATAACTTGCGAATGAGGCGTTCATGCCGAGAGTTCGTACTGCTTTGCAGCTGCTTGGTTGTACAATGCACTCTAGTCTACTTCGCTTGGCTGTTCAATTGCCTATCCTATTTGTGCATGTGTTTATGTTTGAGCACACTCCTTTTGAATTACTCTCATTCTCTCAACCCAAGTTATGAACAGGTATTTTCTTAAGTCCTTTCTGTGGTTCATTTATGTTTATTTATGTATTTCTGTCCCAAAAATAAAGTTTTGATACTTGCTCTGTTGAATAGTATAGTAAAAATAATAATTTAAAACAAGAAGCATGTGCTCATGTACATATATTTTTTGGGGTTCGAAATAAACCAAAGTTTAATAATCAATTAAGAGAATGGAGACTTTAAAAATATAAATGAATAAATCAATTTTATTATAGTAATATAAATATAATTTTTGGTTTTACAATTCGGCAAACATTATTTTTTTATTATAAATATAAATATATATATATATATATTGTATCAATATGAAAAATTTTAAAATCTTGTAGTAGAATCAGTTAAATTTTAATGTATTAATGTATAATTTCTAATGTACAATTTATTCTTAAAGGATTCAGAATCTCTAAGAAATTGGTTCCCCAAACTCTTTCACGACAAAAGTTTTTTGGCTTTGAAAATATTGTTAATTCACATTTCTAAATCCAAGATCTTAATATCATAAATTTCCAAGAAATTCTTGTCCTTAGTATGTTTTTAATAAGATTAACGAAATGCTTTTAGTGATTTTGCTAACTCATCGCGCCTAAAAGTATACCAATCTATTTTAGTTTTAAAATGTAATTGCACTGCATTATCGATTAATTTAGTTAGAAATGGTTCAGACAGAGAATATAAAGCATGCAAAAGGTGCAAATTGAATTCTGTATGATCTTCGATTTGATGGCTAATAGAGCTGATAGAATTGTAGTAAGGAATTCACCATTTTCGCTGCTATTTAGCAGAAAAGAGGACGTTCTCTGGCAGAAATATATAATATGTAAAACGACTGAATTCATGCGATAATAAATAAAGAGAAATGCTTTGAAGAAAAATATACATAGCCACACAGAGAACGTAAAAAACATTCTCTGAGTCACAGGTGCGTGATTGTTTTGTATCATATGAAGCATTTTTTTGGAAAAATGTTAAAAATTAGATAAAAATAATTTTAATTTAATTTTTTAATTTTTAAAAAAATTAATATTTCAAATAAATTATATTCATTTTGCTTATTACAAAGTGAAGATTTGCCAAATGAACTTCATTTCTTCAAAGAAAATTGATGACCTTCATGAAATATGAATATTCGCATTATTTCGTTATTATTTCCACATTTGTAGCAATAGAATTTCTATTTCATATACATACATACATATATGTGCCTAATCGTCGGTTCACAATTGACCATAAATTTTCGATTGCATTGAGATCAGGACTTTGTGCCGCATGATCTCTGGCAAACTTTAGTCGCGCCTTAACATTATTTGCAGATAGAGCAGGTTTTTGTTTTTTAATCGCCGAGATATACCCAATTTTGTGGAGGGATCTTCTTGCAGTCCATCGACTGACAGATTTACCTATTGCCAAGGCTGCATTTCCTAGTGTCAAACACTGGTCTTTTTTCATTCGTGCCATCATTAGGCGTGCGTCCGTATCTGTCAAAAGCCTTTTACGCCCCCTGACCTTCACATTTGATTGACAATTTCGCCTTTTCTGCGCTCTTATCACTAAATACTGGCTTATTTTCATCCACAGTAATTTGCCGAGAGAAGATCCACTTTCAATCATCGAAACAATTTCGTCCTCAACTTCAAGCGATATTTTTTTCATTGTTTTTATATTTTATTTATTTAAATATTTTTTTAAATTTATTTATTATTTATTCTTTAGTTATCTCAAAATAAGTCCACAATATGCAAAACATTATCTTAGATTAGAATTTACTATTCATTAAACACTCTATTTGGAAAAAACGGTAAATATTTAATGCATTGCTGAAATAATAACGGGTACAAAATTGAGTAAATGCAGGTTGTTTTGGTTTTTATTAATTTGTTATTGGACTTTGATATTTTTTGTTGTTGTAATATAAATAAAATTGAAGTCTACTAAGCACTAAACAAATAAAAACAAAATTGTTGTTGCTATCTTTATTATTACTCTTGTTATGCATTACTAAGTACAAAACAAAATATCTATGTACTCACTAATGCTCCCATTGTACATATATTATTTCTTTGGAACATTTGTCTGTATGTTTACGAAAGCAAATGAGAGCCACATACATTCATAACAACAAGTGTCGCACGCATCTCCGTTGCCACGGACAATCAATGGCCGAAACTTACGTTTTGTCAAAGAGTCAATCTGTCGAAGCACTGGCGCGACGACATACATTGTGTTGTTGGTAGAAAATCCGAGCTGTGCCGAAAGAAACTAAAAACCATCGCCGATTGTCACCGCTTCCCTTGCCGCTGTAACAGCTTTGCYWACAAATTRGCGTAAATATGTATGTTTTTATATGAGCTTGCACAATGTATACAAATATATGTACATATAAGTATAAATGTATGAACATGCAGATCAATGCGCGCGCATGTAATACATTGATAAGTGATAAAATCATGATATACATTCAGGTTCTGGAATCCGAGTGAAACTTAATTTGAAAATAAACCTCAATCCGAGTGATATTTGGAGTGTAAGTAGTGCTCGTTCATATTTTCAATCCTGCTACGAAAATGGCATACGTGGCTCTTGGCTTTTGGGTGATGCTGGGTATGCTCTTCAACCTTATATGTTCACTCCATTCAAAGATCCCGAAATTGGGACACCTCACTACATATTTAATCAAAGGCATTCTTCGGCACGCAATGTTGTAGAGAGAACAATTGGCGTTTTAAAAAGCCKGTTTAGGTGCTTAGCTCGGTGTCTTCAATACCAGCCACAAAAGGTGGCGCAAATAACGATGTTTGCTGCGCTTTGCATAATGTTTGCAAACATTACAAAGTGCAAGAATTAGTTGTTGCAGATCTTGTTCCCGAAGAAAATGAACTTGCGAGTTTTGAAATAGTAAACGATGGCATACCTGACAATGAAGCTGCAATCATTAGAGAGGAAATCGCGAATCGCCTTCACTCACAAAGTTAAAAAAACATAAATCAAAACAAATGTACAGGCATATAAATTTATGCGTTAAAATAAGCTTTTATTTATTCCAAAAATTCAAAAACTAAAATAAAATGAATTCAAAGCAAACAAAAACTTGTATATGTATCTATACTCGTATATTCTTTCTACGGCTGTTTGTTACAGTAATTTTGTTCCGCAAACATTTTAAGGTCGGCAATTTCAATTTCTTTCAGCTTTAGCTCATTGTCTTCTTGCCGTAACTTTTCCATCTGGTGATGATGACGAATACTTTCAATGTTTCCTTCTTTTAAGGTCACAGTAAGTTCTTTAACGGCCTCGCAAAGTGTAAATAAATTTGTGTTTATGTTTTTGGTTTCCTCCAAATTTTCTTTCAATCCATCCACTACAACTTTAATGGCGTTTGTCTGTTCACTGATGTTTGTCATGCAGTCAGCTACAGCGGGTTCCCGCCTCCGAGACCGCCCCGCAGCGGGGACATTGCTAGTGGAGGGAAGAGGCTCTTCATCATTGGGAGTGTCAGAAGCTGAGGCATTCCTCTCTGATGGAACACCAAAGCTCTGCGTATTAGGCACGCATTCTACCACTGTATATATGCCGCATAATTGGGCAATCGCGTCTTCTGTCGGAGTAAGGACATGCTTATTGAACGGTCCTCCCCCGGTTGCTCTGGCCTCGGAAGTATTATGCGCCACTTTCTTTCTGATAAAGGCCTTCTAGTCCATCCAAACCTGTAAAAATATTTACAATTTAAATTACTTTGATAAGTTTTATTTGTTTGTTAACCTTTTTCCAGCCAGATACATTTTTGGGGAGGACCATTTTTATTTAAATCTGCCACTAAATCTCTCCATAGCGCGTCTACTTTTATTTTGTCGCCTTTGACAAATCCTCGGGCGATATTGCTGTGCTTTTCCATAAATTGAAGAAGGATTGCTTCCAGGGTTGCATTCTTGTGTTTGCCCCTTTAAAAGTTCTTAAAGTACGTGTTAAAACTACAATATTTTTAATTTTTAATTACTTACATTTCTTTTATACACCAAATCCGCAAATTCAAACTGAAGTGAATGCTAACCGAATTTTTTCTTGTGAATTCGTTTTCCAGAATATGCGTATTCACTAGGAATTCATTTTAGAAAAAGTGTGGAATTGAAACTGTGAAAGTGAAACACAGAACACCAAATGCCTGATTGAAAACGAATTTTGTTTGATATTCACTCGGAAATGAATTCCAGAACCTGCCTGATAAATTTCTAAATGCGCACATGCGTTTACCTACATTTATATGAGCTGATAACACAGTACAACAGCTAATCTGGGGTATGAGAAATTCCAAGTCAGGGTGATGGTACTAGGTCAGTGTAGTAAAACCCTCAAAGGGTTTGACGTTCGTATGTGCCAGTTTTTTTTATGACCTTTTAAATTTTTTTATTATTTCCCATGGTTTTCCATCTTAACAAATAAAATTTTTCCAATTATTCGTACTAAATGGTCCAGATATACGAAAGCTGATTAACAGTGACGCATTCAACAATATTTTGATTCATATACATATGTATGTATATTGAATGCACGGCAGGCAATCAAATAAGTAATAGAAGGCTTGTTGGGAAAGCATCGTTCTAACAACTACGATGTTTCTGTTGCAAGGATGTTAAGAGCATTCTCGGAAATTGTTTTTTTTTTTTTTTGCCAAAATGTTACAACTAAGCGGAAAAACATCAAGATAGGGAAAAAAGGGGTCATAAGGTCATAAAAAAAACTGACACATACGAACGCCAAAACCTTTGGTGGTTTTACTATACTGACCTAGTACCATCACCCTGACTTGGAATTTGTCACCCCCCAGACA